CGGTCTCGGCTAGTCTCGGTCAGTCTCGGTCTCGGCTAGTCTCGGTCTCGGCTAGTCTCGGTCAGTCTCGGTCTCGGCAAGTCTCGGTCAGTCTCGGTCTCGGTCGACACCGAGACTACCCACACCGAGTCTCGGTACATCTCTATGCGATACTAATGTTGGGTTTTTTCATGCTGAATAGCATTCATCGATAAATACTTGAAATAATTATGGGTTCAGTTATAGACAATATACTGTAGTGATAAACTATGAACTTTGTCTATAAAATTTTCTGAATGTTCGTTAGATTGATCTTACTTTGTTTTTGTCTTCTAGGCAAAAAAGACTACTGAGAAAGAAAAACTTATAAAACTTTCTTCCTTTATTTTTTATTTATTTAATTTTAGCGTGAAACTATTAAAAACTTTCGATTAGCTAAAGTTAATGTTTTAATTGCAACTGCAGTAATTGAAGAAGGTTACGAAATTATTAATATTTTATTTTATTATTAATGTTATAAATAATATATTAGGTCTTGATATTCCACAATGTGATCTAGTTATACGTTTTAATAAACCAAATAATTTTTCATCTTATATGCAATCAAAAGGTCGTGCAAGAGCAAAACAAAATGCATCATATATTCTTTTTATGGATGCATCAAATATTGATGCATACAATCGTGATCAAATAGAATATCAGAATTATGAAGAAATAGAAAAGGTTGGTTCTCTTTTGTAAATCATTATAGATAATTCTTTAAATCTATTATTTTTTTTTCTGTTTAATAAAAGTTGGTATTGAGTATATACCAATCATATTTAATATGAATAAAATAGATTCTATTTAAAAATTTGATAATTAATTAAATCGATTAAAAGAATCAATTGCACGTATGAAAAATGAACTATTTTCTTAGTATATTCGAAATAAGAAATAATCATATTTATTCTAGAAGAATTTTATATACATAGAGAACACTTCGAATCTATATATTTTTTTCATTGTTTCTATATAAGATTTATTTTCTATTAAAAAGATGATTCAACATGGTTTTTCACTAGACGAGTATGATGATGATTCTAATATTGATCTATCAGAAATTCCACCTTATTGTCCATCAAATGGTTTAATTATTGATGCAACACGTGCTGCACAATTAATCATGGAGTAAATAAAAATATTTAAATATAAATAAATCAAAATTTTGTTTTATTAGATATTGTGTACTACTTGGTAATGGTCAAATTTTTCCTCCTCGATTTCTTTTTCATGGTCATACGAATCCATATACATGTATTTTATCAATGCCAGCAAATTGTCCTGTTCGTGATGATATTCAAGTATGTTTGTAAATATTTTCAAAAAAAACAAAATTTATTCAATTTTTAGTGTACAAGTAAGAGAAAGAAATTAGCAAAATATAAATGTTGTTTAGAAATGGTTAAAAAACTTCATGAACAAGGTTAATCAAATTTTTAATTATTTAAATCAAAATTTATTATTTTTTTCTTTTTTTTGTTTTTCTTAGGTGAATTTAATGAACATTGTTTACCAAATCGAAATCGTACATTATTAAAAATTGATATAAAAATTGAAAATCAAATATTTCAATTAGTTGATGAATTATTTGAAAAGAAATCTGAAAATTCTTTTGAAACATTTTCAAAACAAGTAAAAATTTGATGAAAGAAAAAAAAAAAATTTTTTTTTCCTAAATTAAATTTATTTATTTTCATTAAGATTACAAAATTTCCTTTGAAAACTAATCAATTATCAACTAATTGGCATCTTTATCAAATTAATAATGAACTTGGTTTTGTTGTTCCATATGAATTAATGAAAGTAAGATTTATTTTTTAAAATCATTTATAATAATATTGAATATTTAGTTACCTCGATTTAATCTTTATGAACATGATAAAATAACTATCATAGAAGTTCTTTATTTAAAATCTATTAATTATGAACAATATCAAAATCAATTAAAAGATTTTTGTCAATATTTATTTGAATATGTATTTGATGATATGAATATAAATAAAATTCTTAAATTTGATATTGAAAATTCAACATTTAAATTATTACCTTGTTTATTAACAAGTACGTATATTTAAAAAAGTCTATTTTGTTTATTTTTTTGTTTTTTCTAATCTTTAAATAGAAACAGGTGATATTGATTGTAATCGAATGAAAATAATTTGTAATCGAAAAAATAAAATAATTCAAAATAATTCAGAATTAAATGATACTGAACTTTATTATCCATCACATTTACCAGACAAACGACTTTATATGCATATATCAGACAAATCTTTATTAAAACAAGCATCAGCTCCATGGGATCAAAAAATATTATCAGAAAATATTAAAACTTATGCAGATTATTTTGAATATAAAGTTCCAAATGTTCATATTCGACGAGATATAAATTTAGTAACAATGAGAGGAGTTAAAAAAACAAGAATAAATTATTTAAAAGAAACATTCATAAATATTGATAAAGAAATAACTGATTCAGAAAGTCAACCGGTTTATTATCCAATAGAATTTCTTTGTTATGCACCATTAAATAAAGTAGATTTAGAAATAATTTATAAATTACCAAGTATTCTTGTTCGTATTTCACAATTATATCGAATTGAACGATTACGAAAATTATTTGCAGATAATATTAAATATTATTCGGTAAGATTCATATAAATCTTATTAGGAAAATACCTGTT